TTATGTATAATCTATAAAACATAGAAACACTGGTTCCATCTTTCGAGCCTGGCCAGCATCTAATGGGTCATCGTTGGGAATACAATTTGTATGGGATGTGCGTGTGGTGTATGGATAATGACTCAGAATTGTTAATAGAGAGCCGAGTTCTGCAAGGTTAAGCAACGTCAACCTAGATGGTCATCACTTGTAATGGTGTATGCTTGGATGTTCGGGTGGTGTAATGGATAATGACTCAGAATTGTTAATAGGAGAGCCGAACTTTGTTATATTCACTTGCACAAATTCACATTTCTCTTCCCATATGGGTTAATTAGTAAGATTGTATCACTAAAGAATTATTATCCCGCAAAAATTCTTTGAATCAAAATTATTTTCTGACTTTAAATAATCTGCAAAAGTTGTTAAAAACGAATCAATGAATTCTATCAATATATACTACATTCCTTGTTCCTGTGTTTTTAACGAAACCAAACCTTCGTGTCCGATTCTGCTTCGCTAATTTTGCTTATGATCTAGTCATCCAAATTGGATGATAGGTTTTTTAATTGGCTCATTAAGTTGATTTCCCGAAGCACTTTCGTTGACCACATAGAGGTTTTGATTATTCTCCTTCCGAAATATGTCATGGTTACCATGCAGTTCAAACAATTCTTTGTGACATATTTTAAGGAAAGCTTAATCAATAAAACACAGTTATATATCATTCGGCATTTGTATTTTTCTTTCTTGCACCATTCAGAGCATAAATCTCATCAATACATCCTTCTGCATTTGTCTCTTATATTATTCTGAGCCTGAATATCGCATCCTTGTTCCAGTGTCTTTAGCGAACCGCACTTATTTTGCCGCGCATTCTATTCATCAGAATTCGGATGATAAGTTTTGTTGTATGGCTCATTAGACTGATTCTCCGATGGAGTTCACATTCATTTGCACCTGGCTTCTTAGGCAGTGCTATGAAAATAGATCTACTTCAGTTTTCCGCTATATCATTCCCAAATAGGTTCTGGATTATTCTAATATCCTTCCCGAATATGTCAAGGTTACATAGAAGTTCCAACAGTTCTTTGTGACGTACTTGATCAAACGATTTTACATAATCTACAAAACACAGGTACACATCCTTCTGGATTTGTATTACTTTATCTTATATCATTCAGAGCATAAATCTTATCAATGCAATTCTGTTAATTCGCCATTTTGAGAACATTTTTCTGTTGCTGACCACTTGATCATTTTTTAAAACCTGTTAAAAATAATTGTTGATATTGAATTGTCTTTTTCACAGTGTTTCTGTTGATAATATATTTTTATGCACACAAATGAAAGTGTATTTCTAAGCAGAAACAAACAGTTACTACACTTTATTCCTTATGCACAATACATACAACATTTAACCTTTGAACTCTGTTAATAATTAAATTTATTCATAAAGGAAAATTTATTGTTATTGTTGTAACTGCTTCAATTTTAACATGTATGTATTTACAACTGAAGCTGTTTTGGAAACACACTATAACTCCTCATAAAATATGACATCAAAATTACGCATCCATCTTTGAGCATAAGCAGTCTTTTGGGGATGGGGTAACCTCAACGTGGTGTAATGGTTGGCAAGCTTGTCATGCCATGACAATTACAACTGAATAGTGAGGTCGATCCTCACTGGGTGTCCCATACTTTCAACATTGTGCCACATCTCAGGTACGCTTAGAAAATTAAAAACACCTCGACGTGATCTAATCATTAGCATGATTGTCTCGCTAAAACCATTACAACTGAATAGTGAGTTCGATTCTCCCTGAGTGCTCCATACTTTCGGCCTTGTGCCGCATTTAAGCTGAGCTTAGAAAATCGCTATTAAGCAATTTATTTATACAAAAAGAATATGTATAAAAACAATATTAGTAATATAATTTAAAATTGTTTTAATACCATACAGAATGAATTAATTCAGTATGGGCTTTACAAGAAGCTAAAATGGCATCTTTCTTGGACCCAATACCACTATGAGGAAATTAAGGGATTATCCATAGCTGTTGATATCTTTCGTGTTTTTGTTTTACCCATATGCTATCAGCATGATATTTCGAAAGCTACACTTGCCCGAATTTTTAATTCCGAGCTGCCATTGTACTAGCCAGTCATGTGCTGCTATTTAACCCATAGTTGGGGAGGATGGATTCATATCTTTCCGAAAGGTATTTGTGCGAAAGTGAATGTAATGAAATCAACCGGAATTCGAAACCTCCTCGCTGATTTCCCATTCCGAGCCTCTAACCTCTACACGATCTGCACATAAAATAAAGAATAATGGATATTAAATGTTCTGCAAAAAATGGAAAAACCATTGGATAACAATATTTACATTCAGAATTTATTCTTATGAATCCTTTCTTTTGGGTAAACGTTTTCATTTTTTTTTTCTATTCTTATGTTGAGGAAATGGCTGAATTTAAATGATACGAAGACAAACATTGGCGCCACGTGAGATCTGATTTTAGAATCGAAAAATTAATGAACTCTATCTAGCTAATGTTTATATTCTTAAAAGACAAACAACCTCTTGTCTCTTGCCTATTTGTTATATTCATAAGTTTTAAGAGACGATGAATAATATATGATGCATTTAAAATACACAACTTTGGGATTCTGGATTTAATATGTTAAATTTCTTAGAATTATTCTCAAGATAAGGCAAATTGGATAACAAGAAGACAATTGGGAAAAAATATTTCTTAGTGAGTGCCGACGCATTTCGTCAATTCAAATCTATGAAAGCAAGTTTAAAAGCGAAATGTTTTTTAGTTACATTAACTTGAAAATATTAAAAAAAAAGGAAAGCTCTTGTGTAAACCTTCTTCTGGATATTAGTAACTTCTTTTTTTTTCTAAGAATTTGTTTTAGTTTTCCATGTCGACAAAAATTTCTCAAAATAATTTTCACACACACACACACACACACACACACACACACATATATATATATATATATATATATATATATATATATATATATATATATATATATATATATAAAAAGGAGAGGTTATATTAGTTCCAACGAGAGAGAAAGAGAAACGTTTTAGGTTGTAATGTGGATTTTTTTAAAAAAATATATTATGCTTTATTTTTCATAATTTTGCTACACCTGTTTCCGGTCTCGTGACCTTCATCAGACAAAGAGTAGATATTTCCACATATTATTACAAGGAACTAATTTTTCTTATGTTTTTTGATGTTAAATATTGTCGATATTAGACATTCTCGTTTTTGTGTATTAGTGACCCAAATGTCTTCCTTGAACTGGCAGTGAAAAAGTTCTGCGTGAAGGGTAAAAAAACAATTAAGACTGGTCCGAGAAAAGGTGAGAAACATGTCTATATTCTTATCTTTTAATGACCCTTGTGTGTTCTCAGACCTATTTCCATTTTTTAATGATTTTGTCTGCATGCGTACGTATAAGTATATTCCCTGTCCATACATACTTACTGTTTTATTATAAGGAATTAGTATACACATATGTACACATATATATACACATACACACACGCACATATACATACATATACATACACACAAAAACACACATACACACTTCCTATGTTGTGTAGGGTTCGCAGTAAGCAGTTTTGTTTTTGTTGTGCATATATATACCAGTATGCGCATGTATATGCGCAGTCCCTCTCTATACATACATACTGTCTTATAAGGAATTAGTATACACACAAATACACAAACACACACACACACATACATACATACATACATATATATATATATATATATATATATATATATATAAGTATAGTTGGCCACATGTATTCGAGGATACACATCTACTAGGGCGGCTAGACAATTTCCATTGCAGACAATCTCACAGACGCATTTGTGTTTATTCAACACCCACAGAGCCAAACTGTGGTTTATACTGCAACTATGCAGAGCAGACCTTAGTTACAGTTTCTGGGAAAGAGCGTGTTATCTAGTGTGATCAACAATTTGAACAAGACCAGTACTCGATGACTTGTGACTTCGTGCTAGCACAGCTAGCGATGGCACCTAAGGGTTCCGTCTACTCAATTTTACTTACAGGGCTTGGGTCAACTCGTGGCATGATTTTCAGGCACTTTCCAAAGATACCGCACGCTGGGCTCGACACCAGGAAGTCTCCTTCCTGACAAATCGACCATGGTGAGATTTGAACCCAGGTCTCTCTCCCTCTCTCTCTCTCTCTCACACACACACACACACACACACACACACACACACACACACACACACATATATATATATATATATATATATATATATATATATATATATAAGTGTCGTCACAAAGTTGTCCAAGTCGCAGAGGCATACAGGAGAACAGGAATCACTACTGCTTTATACACTAACACTGGTGTCTGTTCTGATGTCACAATCTTAGAGAACTCTATTTGGAAACGTCACTGATTCTGCGCATTTTGAGATGGTGTTTTATCTCATTTTGAAAGCCAATTCTAAAAGACAAATAAGGAAAATAATCCTAATTCAACAAGACTATTTCATCAAATTGGATCTTCGGAGTATTTCAGTTGGTGATATTTGATAGATTATTCTTTTGTGTTGATTTTTCTTCCAAGTTCTAGTGTATGCATTGTTGAATGCATTTCGTATTTGTAGCAGATGTCAGTCAGTAAGGACTACAACACTTGTCATCTGTATATTGAAACTCTATCAATGAACTCACTGATGCTTTGGTTTTGAACCAAAGACGACCTAAGGTGAATAAGCTACCATTTATAGTCCTGTAGACAGTCTCAATCTAAGAAGGCAGATCATCTTTTATGATGCCAGTCACTATTGCAATGAAGATGGTGACCAAAGTTGGAGCAATGACACATTCTTCTTTCACCCCAGATCTGACTTGGAACAGTTCACATTGGTCATTGTTGGAGAGGTCTATGGAGCTCATGTGATCATGAAGGATATGAACAACAGTATATGTAGGGAATGTCCCATAAAAACTTTCTTGAAAAAAAGTGCTTTGCTAAGGTCAATGAATGCCATATACAAGGGTTGAAACTGCTCACATATGTAAAGATCATATCTATTATTTCACGGGATGATCTGAAATTGGTTTCTGGAAGGATCCTCTCAGCTAGTGGCCTGAGACTGTTATTCAGGACATTTTTCCAGTACAGAGATTCCACGGTAATTCCTACAGACAGATTGGTTTCTTTTCTTCTAATGGCTGATAATTATTGCCGAGTCTTTAAAATCTAGTTGGTAGGACGTCTTTAATTGTCCAGATTTTCAAAATGATTTGGTGCAGTTGGTGCTGACTAAGATTTCCTCCATATTTGTAGACATCTACTGTAATCTCATCAAGTCCACAGGGTTTGTTTTTTCTTTGTAGCTTTGCTGGCTTCCCTGAATTGATCAAATGTCAGTATTTTATTTAGAGACTGGACAACAAGATGCATCGGAAGACAATAGATGATGTCTCTATAAAAAAGTGACAATTTGGATCAGTAGTTCTTCAAAGTGCTCTCTCCATCTAACATTGATGTCAGTATTGGTCGTCAGTATTCTTGATCAATCTTTACTTTTGAGAGGAGCTTTAGCGTCGGCTAGTGGACCAAAGATGGCTTCTGTAAGATTGAAGAAGCCACGATTATCATTGACATCAGCGAGTTGATGGATTTCCGCGGCTTTTTCTCCCCACTATTGAATTTTCAGGTTTCGAATGATTTTTTGAACTTTTGATTTTGTCTGTTGGTATAGCGTTCTATTTGTGACAATTTTTTGTCGTTTTGCAAGTTAGAACACTAACCATCAATTAAAGTTACACCACTACTAACCATAGGTATATCACACCCGATTTTGAAAATATCAAAAAAAATTATAAATATAAATCTTTATTTGAAATATTTTACAAGTAGGCACTTCAAACTTTGTAATTTGAGTTAACATTAAGAAAAACTGAAAAACATTATTTAGGTAAGAAAATCATACTGAAAATTGTAATTGAAAATAGGAAAATTTGCGCTGGGTACTATATACCCATGGTTAGTATTCTAGGGTTAATGGCTTTTCTTTTCGTTGGAATTAGTTGTTGTAATTGTTTATTATTTTCATCAAACCACTCTTGATTTCTCTTTGTCTTGAGTCCAAGGGTGTCTTTACGGTAGGTACTGCTAGCGTTCTTCGCTTCATCCAGTTGTTTTCAACGGATGATGGTAGACGTTAAGGTAGTTCGTCTAGAATTTTCGGTTGGATGTTGTGGACAAATTTTGTGTCTTGGAGAATTGAAATTCCTGACAATATTGTTCGTGTTTTGATATTTTCTTTTGGGCTTGATCCTTTCCATAATTGACGATGGTCTGTCTAGCACTCATCGGCACCATTGAGGGCTGCCATTTTGTGTACATCTCGTTCATCTCCGGATCGAACGATGTCATAGTCAATCAGGTACCAATGCTTGGAGGGTGGATGTTGCCAGGTGATTTTGTACCTGTTCTTCTGTCGAAAAGGATGTTAATTATCACCTGGTTGTGTTCAGCACATTTGGTGAGAAGGAGAGTTCCGTTGGCGTTGATGTTGTCAAATCCTTTCTTACCTATTGCACTGCTCTATTCTATTCAAGCATTGAAGTCTCCTGAAAAGATGATCTTGTCTTCCTTTGGAGTAGAGGGTAGTATGTTATCAAGCTTAGAATAGAACTTTTCTTTGATCTTTCTTCATCATCGAAAGTTGGTGCCATAGTTAGTTTTGACTTTCTAGATTCTGAGAGGCATTCATTGTTCTGTCGTTCTGTCACTTTAGAAAGGAGCTGGTTTCGGATGGCAAAGAATAGTCCGTGAATTATTGGTTGTTCATTTCCAGAAAAAATGTGTGTCGGCCTTGCTTGTCTGTCAGTTTTCATTCTCCAGCTTCACTCAAAGTGACTGTCAAAATTGAACTTGTTCAGTTCACGGGCAACAAAAGTCGTTCTTCTTTCTGGTCTGGTCTGAGTTGGGATTCTCTATGCTCCAAATCTAATGGTACTGGTTTTTCAGGTTTTCCGACCACATGATGGTAAACCCTCTGGACACGGTTTACCAGAGGAGGTGCCATTGAAGCGGACTATTTTTAGGGAATATTTACTGACCGCGTTTGTGGGTTTACAGAATAGGTTCTGAACAAGGCTGCTCATTCATGAAAATCTCTGCCAAACAACTTTCCTGCTTCAATCCAAATGCTGAGAGACTAAATCGACTATTCGCCCCTTGTGTGTTGATTATTGACTATGATCTTCCAGCTATCACTTGCCTGTTTCCGTCGCCCATCCCAGATCGCCACAAGCCTCGGGATGATTTCGGGAAGGTCTGTCTATGAAACTCCGGAGTCGATGCTGAAGAAAAAATGGAGCGTAGCTGTTTTTTTCCACATCTAAGTGACAAATTTTATATTTATATTAATTTTAATATATATATATATATATATAAGCGAACATTGAATTCAGCACTCAGAGGCGAAAAGCTGTTTCATGCTGGAAGCAATCGGCGGCCTGACTATTGCGTCCAGCATGAAACAGCCTGTCGCCTCTGAGTGTTGACTTCAGTGTTCACTTTTATATTTATATTTACATAAGCTCTATCTCTGATATTGAGCACTTTATCGCATAAATATAGTACACCTTAAAAACTATTTCTTCATATATATTATATATATATATATATATATATATATATATATATATATATATATATATATATATTAAAGTTCATTACACACAACTTAATATGTTTTCATTTTCTTGTTTTAATGAATTTATACATTCACGAAAGATTTAATTTTCTCTCCCCACCCCACTTCGAGCTTTAGAGCGCCCACTCTATTCTTTTTCTCCCACCCGCCATTTCTCGCTTTGGCGATATCTCTGTCTCTCTTCTTTTTTCTCCCCACCCACTACTCGCTGTTGCGCGCTCTAGATAGATATTCTTTTTTTCTCTCCCCACTTTTCACTTTTTCACGTTCTCCCTGTTCTCTTTCTCCTCCCACTTCTTGCTTTTGCGCACTTCGTCCTTTTTCTTCCCCATTTCTCTCTTTTGCACGTTCTCTCTCTCTTTTTTTTTCTCCCCACTTTTTCTCGTTCTCCTTTCTCTTTCTCCTCCCACTTTCTTTTGTTCTCCTTTTTCCTCCCCATTTCTTCTTGCTTTTTTTTCTCTCCCCTTCTCCTTTTTCTTCCCCATTTCTCTCCCACTTTTTGCACGTTCTCTCCTTTTTTTTTCTCTCCCCACTTCTCTCTTTTTTTTTTCTCACCCACTTCCCTTTTCTTCTCCTTTCTCCTCCCACTTCTTGCTTTTGCACACTCCGTCCTTTTTCTTCCCCCATTTCTCTCTTTTTTCCTTTCTTCTTTTTCTCCCCATTTCTCTCTTTTTCACGTTCTCCTGTTCTCTTTCTCTCCCACTTCTTGCTTTTTTTTTTTTTCTCCCCGTTCTCTCTTTTTTTTTCTCCCCCACTTCTCGCTTTTGTGCGTTCTATCTCTTCTTGATCTTCCTCTACATCTCGCTTTGCGCACTTCTTTTTTTCTCTTTCCGAATTACTTCTCCCTTGTTCACGCGCTTTATCGCTCTCTCTCTCTCTCTCTCTCTCTATCTATCTATCTATCTATCTATATATATATATATATATATATATCTTACTGCGTTAACCTTTCCGTTCTCTCTTTCTTTGAATATTGCTGTCTCTCACTCGTTCTCTTTCGCTAATTTCTCCTCTCATTCCTCTCTTTCGCTATCGAAATATCTACTTCCCCTTTCACTCTCATATTCCACTTTCTCTCTCGCCAATATTTCTTTCTTCCTATCGCAATGTTATTTCTTTATCTCCGCTGTCGTTACCTAAAGACAAGATTATTTGAATTAAGTAGTCTTGTTCCTAATGATCAGAACTAATTTCCCAGACATCAATCTATGTTTCTGTCGTTAAATACAAATTGTGTAGCAGGAATTTGAAAAACAAAAATAAAAAAGTTGTTTTTTAAAAAAGTTTTAAAAAAAACAACATACCGGTTTTATCGTCAATTCCTTGCCGCCATAATGCAAATCTTTATGGACGAAAATTTGAAGCTTATGCATTGAAATGTCGGGTTTGACTCATATCGGAAATGACGCAATTATTTTTACTGTTCGCAATATAAAATCTAAATCAAATTTATGCTGAATTTCACTGTCACCGAGAATTGCATAAAAATGTTAAGCAGTAAATTAATTAAAAACATAATGGCGGAAATAAAACAGACCATTATTCGAATGAGATTTTCAGATAACATAGGCTTTTATATTAATTAACCCCCTAATGGTGACTGTCCCCAAATTGGGATAAAGTGGGGTAAAGGTAGACACCTATTATACGAGATTTTTATGAACCCATAATTAATCTAATTTTTATTAGAAATTTATATTTAATATTTGTTTTATAAATCTGTAATTAATAATGGATCTTTATTTTAATTATTATAATTAATATCGAATTTATGTTAGCTGTTAACAGCTTCAGAATGTAGTGTTCAAAATCTGTTAATGGAATGTATATTTAAGAATGTTTATATATTTAAGAAATGGATGGTATAGCTAAGTAATAAATAAGATTTAAGAAATATAATGGATGGTATATTTAAGAAAAAAATGGAGCGTAGCTGCTTTCCCGCAGATGCAAATAGTAAATGTTCAAATGACTCCCCATCTTTTTAGTTTTGCCCATTAAGACCTTTGAGGCTAGGGTACGCTATGCTATTTCCACGCCTGCGAATCCGCATTATTTTCCTCGTATTGAAAATGTAAACAAAAAAGTTCCACTCAGACAGTTCTTTCCCAAGAATAGTTACTTTGCGAAACTGAGTGTTTGGATACGCCCCCTGACAACTTCTTCTTCTTCTTCTTCTTCTTCTTCTTCTTCTTCTTCTTCTTCTCCTCCTCCTCCTCCTCCTCCTTGGACGTGGGCGATCATGACATTGTAGTTCTTTCAGTATTGCCCTCAATCTGTCCTGTAAGTATCAGGTTTTCCAAGCTCTCCTTCCTCATTATCTGTCCCAGAAATTTCAACTTTCTCTTTCTGATGTTAAGTATAAGTTTTCCTTTTGTCTTCATTTGTTGTCCAGTATTCGCTGCCATATAGGAGGACAGATATCACGTAACTGTTCAGTACTTTTTTCCTTTTTTCTAACGACGTTTCTCTGTCTTTTAATATTTTGCTTAGCTCGAATTCTTCAAGTGAAAAGGCAGCCATTATCTATATCTCTGATAATTTTCACTTCATGCCACCTTTTCTATCAGTCATATGAATCACGTCATTCAGCCTTACCATTTTAGAAGTAACCCTTTGTCTTGAGTCATTCCAGAGACTCGAATAAATTTTGGCATGAGAACTGACCAGATGAATCTGACACTGTCTAGGGAACTCTCTCTCGAATCTCCTACATGTCTGATTACAACAGACGTCTCTTTGTCTCTGTTCTTCTATCTCTCCTCAAATCTATAAGCTATCTCTCTATCGCTCTCTATCCTCCCAAAACTGTGGTGTACTCGGCTGCATTTCCGATAGTATAGACAAGGCTATCTGCAAACATATTTGGGTTTGGTGACTTCAATGCCCACCATATCAAATGGCTTAAACACTCTGTAACTGACCTCCTTGGCATAAAACAACTTACCTTTTGAATCTCTCAGTCTCTCACACAAGTGGCTGAGTTTCCTACGCGTTTCCCTAACAACCATGAGGGCAAGGCTTCCCTTCTTGATCTCTGTTTTACCTCCATCCCCGAGTCTTGTCGTGCTATTCATCTCTGCCCTCTTGGTAACTCTGGTCATACCGTCGTGTCTATTTCCATTTCCTTCTACTCCCCCCCCCAGTAAAGAACCTCCTACCAACAGAACATCTTTCTATTAATTTATTTATATTTTATTTATTTTTATTTATTCAATTATTTCTACAAGAAAATGCAAATTGTGCAGCAACTATTGCCTACAGGAATCACTACTTCCGACTATACCGTAGGGACATATCTGATTACAACAGACGTCTCTTTGTCTCTGCTCGTAACGAGTGCAAGCATGTCCACAAAAGGGCAAAGTTACTCTTTGCCGAAAGAATGAATCAACGTATTGCGTCCCGCAAGTTTGGTTCAAAAGATTATTGGCTGCTCTGCAAAAGCGTGCTGAACAACAGCAAACCCATAGTATCCACTTTATTCAACCGATTTGAGGTCCTGATCTCCTCAGCTGATAAGGCTAAATAATTTGTTCGTAAGTTCTGATCCAATTCAACGCTAGACTCATCTGGTGTACCCACACCGGAGTTTTTCCCCTACAACTAAATCTCTACTGACTGAGATGCACATAACCCCAACGATAGTATTGGACATCATCTCTAAATTAGACTCCCATAAGATTGGTGGTAGGGACGGGATTCCGGACGTTGTCCTGAAGAAATATGCTCCTGGTTTGGCTCCTGTCCTCTCTAAAGTTTACAACTACTGCCTCATCGACTCTTGCTTTCCAGCCTGTTGAAAGTCCTCCTCTTTTGTTCCTTTCTTTAAAAATTCTGGTGACCCTTCTGACCCGTCTAACTACCGTCCTATCAGTCTTCTACCACTCTTTGGTAAACGTATTCGAGGCTTTAATCAACGCCCAAGAGGTTAAACACCTTACTTCCCATAATCTACTCTCCGATAAGGAATATGGTTTCCACTTTGCCGGATCTACGTCTGACGTGCTCAAGGCCATAACTGAATTTGTATAACAGCCACTTGACAATAACAGAGAAGCTCAAGACGTGGCTCTAGACATCTCTAAAGTGTTTGATAGGGTTTGGTATGCTGACCTTCTTCGCAAGCTTCATGGATACGGTATTACAGGACGATTATTTGGCTTAATACAATCATTCATGTTAAACCGTGAAATGAAGGTCGTCAGAAACGGGTTTTGATCTGGATCCTTTATCACGAACGTTGGTGTTTCTTCAAAGCTCTATCTTGGGCCCTATACTGTTCCTGATCTTTATCAATGACCTTCCCGATGTTGGCATCTACGCGGACGGCACCACTATTTACTCCTGCCCCAATAGTAAACCTGATATCGTGACAAAACTAACTTCTCAGCTGATCTCGAAAAGGACCTCGAATCTGCGGTTGGCTGGGGCAGGAAATAGCTTGTAAACTTTAATGCCTCCAAGAAACCGGTCTCCTTTACCAACGACAGAGAACCCTTCTTGCCTCGCATCAGAATGACCGATTCCCAACTTCTTGAGAGCGCCTAGTTACGCCTGCTTGGTCTCACACTGCCCACTGGCAAGAGGTGGACTAAATACATTGAATCAATAGCTTCATCTACCACAAGCAAAGTTGAATCTCTGTGACGTGCCAGGAAGTTTTTCTCGTCTGAGTCCATCCTTCAAATCTATACATCGACCATCCGTCCTTAGATAGAATACTGCTGTCATATATGGTCTGGTGCTCCTGCTGTACGTCTCAAGGTCATTGACAAAATCCAGACAAATATTGGTTTAAATTTGGATACGCATTCAGCAGATATGAATGAATCAGAGAAAACCATGGAGAATTGTATTAAAAACAGTAAAATCGACCTTGCTAACCGAACGTTCCTCTATGGCCCAATCGGTTAAGGCACGTCAGGCTATATGACGGTTCCGTATAGGATACAGGTTTGTCTCCTGTCGGAGGACGCATATTTTCTATGAAAATTTCTCGGACATTCAGGCCGGTTAATGTTATTAATACTGTTAATTATAAACAGAGCATTTACTTAAATATTTGTATCTATAAAAGGAATGTATAAACATAAAAATGTTATATATATATATATATATATATATATGTTATGGTTAGAAATATTTAAGTAAATGATATGTTTATAAAAAACAGTATTAACTATGGTTACCGGCCTGAAAGTCCGAGAAATCTCATAGGAAATATGTGTCCACCGACAGGAATCATGGGAAATTTCTTGTTTAAAAACAGTCATTTGTCTTTGCTAATCAGACGCTTCCTCTGTAGTTAAATGGTATAGCACGTCAGGCTATATGACGGTTCCGTGCAAGATGCAGATTCGATTCCTGTCAGGGAACACATACTTTCTATGAAATTTCTCGGACATTCAGGCCGATAAACGTATTTAATACTCTTTATTATAAACAGAGCATTTACTTAAATATTTGTATGTATGAAAAGTACGTATAAACATAAAAAAAATGTCTTAAATAATTGTCGGACTTTGTCCATTTCCTAATATATATATATATATATATATATATATATATATATATATATATATATATATATATCTCTGTGTGTGTGTGTGTGCGTGATAAAAATATATAAATGTTTATATATCAAGAACAATTTTAGGCAAAAGGTGGATGACGAAGTTGAAAAAGGATTCTTGTGATGCTTTTCGTCTTTTAGGGCCTCATTAGATTAAGTTTGTTTACGTTGCTTTGTTTACACATGCGCATTAACGAGAGACGCTGGGAATTTAAATTTAAAAAAAAATATTTGTTATGTGTTTTGGGTATTGATATCTAGACGATTTCATTGTGTTTTTTTCTTTTGTTTGAGTTGCCATCACTTTTTTTAAAAAATTAACTATCTCACATTGTGATAACAAAACCTTTGCTAAGAATGGTGAAACGTTCTAAGAACCTGGATACACATTTACTGTGGATGATATCACGATTAATGCACTTTCTAAATATTTTCGTCTCAGTGAATTATTTTCTCTTTTAATTAGAGTGGCATTATATATATATACACATATGCGTGTGTGTGTGTGTGTGTAAGTATATATATATATATATATATATATATATATATATATATATATATTGCT